GCGGGAGGAAACTGAAAAAGAAGGCAAAGACACTCTAACAGAACCTGAAAACCCCACAAATCTGTCATGAAGAGGTACCACAAAGTTGAAAACTGTTGCAACCTGGCCCTCATCTGCCCTGGAAAGAGCATCATATCACCAATAATGCTGACTTCAGGATGATCTGGAATGGGAAAACTGAGGGTAAGGACAGGAATGCCTAGAGGAGATTAAAAAAAGGGACACAGCAAACACAGAGTGGCAAAGGCTGGGAGGGAACAACAGGATGAGACAAACAGGAGGCCAGGGATGACAAAGAGGAATGTAAATCGCATTGACCCAAGACTCCAATTATTCAAGATGACTCCCAAAAAAGTGTTTCACAAAGAAACCGGGCTTGATGAAGATCCCTCAGGGAAGAAAGAGGGGATGCACCCTCTCAAGTAATGCATCACTCCCAAATAAATCCCAACAACATTAGAACGGGGTGTTGAGAGACAACACTGATGCCAACAAATGAGCCATGGTATACTACAAGAAGGTCCTGATATCATCAGATAATTGTCCGGGTGACTGGCGAAAGACTTGTGAGGGAGGAAAAACATAATAGTCAGAACGAGGTATATCACCTAACAAAGTAAGAGAGGAATTAAGGGCTAAAGTGGAAACATGTAAAACTTGACATATATGATTAATAAGGTAAAGGGAAGGAGAGGACAGGAAACTCTCCTGACTGTCAGTATTATGTAACTGACCAAAAAAGGCCAGGGCCAGAAAAACAGTCTAAATTGTCTTCCTCTTGATGAAGTTCTTCCTCAGAAGCATGTTAAGGAGGAGAAGGGAGAAGCAAAGGATGGCCATTCATAAATCTCTAACTCCCTGTGAATGAAAGACTGAACTTCCTTGACAGATATTGTCAACCTACCAAGCTGGGGGCTAGCACGAGTACCATAACCAAATACGCGGAAATATCATCATTTGCCATGTTAATACACATTTTAAAGAGTAGAATTCAAGTAAAAGAAAAAACTGACAAAAACAAACTAAATGAAATAATTGAAAGCAAACACTAAAGTCAAAACTTGAAATGTGAAAAACTTGGAAACTGGTAAGAAATCACAAATAAATGAAATCGTAGTAGTCACAAGTAAAGTGAGTTAAACACATATCAATACACTCTAATGCCAATAGAGAAAGTGAGAATTGTGCTATGATAGTAGTTGTGCTAGCACAGATGGTGCAATATGATTGGTGGATGTTAGTCACATGATTAACAATGTTCTGAAAGGCTGCAAAACTGATGGGGTATAAAAGACTGGTGTGCCAGGTGAAATCATTTTTTTAGCAATGCTTAGAGGGCAAGTCAAAATAGCTTTGGAGTTAGTGGAGGTAAGACCATTTCAAAAATTTACATTTTTTGCTTTGCAGAAATGAATCATTTTATTTTCTGCAAAGAGGTCATCTAGTATCATCACAGGTTTTCTTGCCGATTAGTAAACATTCTACTGTTTCTTTATCTAGGATTAGAGTGAATTTATTTTAATTGAATTATATACATATTACTTATCACATGTTGTGACAAAATTCTTTACAACTTTTATCACATAAAATCTGAGAACAATTATTTTTAATGATGAATTAGGTTATTTAGATTTAATAAAACAGTATTGTGAAAAATTGTAAGGAGAAACCCATGGAACAGTATTTTCAATTTGTTACACTTTTCCTATTACATTGTGCATATGATACATTTCTAGTACAACAGTTTAGGAATAAAAAATTAGCTTATTCCTAAATTTTTGTGCCTGAAGGTGTCTATCATATTAAACAATGTTTAGTTCAAAATTTCTTTAAGAAAAAACAAGAGACAAATAGGAGATTAGTTGAATTCAATTTATTAATTAGACTAACAGTTAGTCGAGTACCAAATTCCACTGATCACCAGGCTCTACAACTCATCTCTTTGTTCATTTTAAACATGCCACATCAATGTACAACTTATACTATTTTTTATAATAAATATAAATTTATTTTAAATAATAAACCTTCAATCATGGAAAACTCCTTACTAAGATGTCAAGGGTGATCTTGAATAACTAACTCAGTTATAAAACCAGTTTTTTTTTATTCAGTATGCCAGGACTGGAAAGACCAACTTTAAGTTGTGTCATACTTGAATAAATGTTTGACAATTTATAAGTAATTTACTTTTTTTAAGACCTTTATAAGGATGGTGGTTGGGAGTTCTATATGTAGAAATTTTGGGTGGTTCTTTTTCTACTTTTAGAATTTAAATAAGTTTAAGGGTAACTGCCTTCCCACATCTGGCTGCAGACAGCAAAAGGCAGTAGGAGGTGAGAAACGCTGTGGGTTTAAGAACTCACCTCTACGCTCTTGTTTTGATTTTCCATGATGGTCAACTTGTTTAACTTCGGCATTTTGTATTTTGCTTCATAGATGGGATATCCCCAACACTTTTTGGGTGCTATTACCACAAGCTTTATCTATTTATGACTATGAATGACTGACTGTAAGTGAAGGTGGATGCATTAAATGATTATAAGTTCTTTATTGTTTAAAAGTGCTGATCTAAATCACCTATTAGCAATAATTGTAACTGATAGTCATTAAGCTATCTATCTATCTATCTAAAAATGTACGTATTGAACTTAGTGTTTTTTATTTTAATCTTGGAGAATAAATTATAAATATCATTTTAACGAAACCATTAAATTTTACTTTTCATCGCACTGTAAGTGTTAAATTTATGTGTTATGTTAGTAATACTTTTTCTTGTCCCAAATATTTTGTTTATACCAAAGTTAAGATGTCAGATATCACTGCAGTCCACTTTATTCCTCTCGGCAAATACTTTCCATAAAAACAGAGGCTACCAATGGAAGAAGTGATTCTGCAAGCAAGTCAAACTGGCTATCTGGCAAAAGGTTTAATAAACAGTCTTCACTAACATCATTTTTATAAACAAAAATTGATCCAATTGTAATTTGTGAATTGTGTTGAGCAAAAGTTGAATGACAGTCTGAACCTTGGGTCGAGTTTAGTGGCAATCAACAATGACTTTAACCTCCTCCTTTGCAATTAATTATGGAAATAAGATCTTCTACCAAACTTGATAGATCACAAGATCATTAATTCTCCAGTAATGTGGGAAAATATACTGTAATTATTGTGTTTCCTTCCCTCTTTACAGCCCTATTTTGTGATTTTAAAAATGCTCCTTTTTTTCCTTACACCATAATTAAGAATGAAATGTCTTTCCATATTACGTAGCAATGATTCAGTTATGTCAGTTTGTTATAACTTAGTTGTTTTTTATGTAAGATACTGATGATTTTGAACGGTGGTTAGACCACCTGACATAATAACAATTATTTATTCTATGTTTTATAATTTCTACAAATAAGAGACAAAAGGCTATGTATTTCAGTAGTATTTGCTGAGTTAACAATGAGGTAGATTGAGAACTATTCCAAGATAGCTTCAACAAACAACTGGGTTATAAGCATTATCTTCACTAAGCTTTAAAAGAAAATGGCAAAATATTGGAAGAATGGACTATTTAACTATCTCAACTGAGAGAACTAAAAAAACAATCAACCTCATGCAAAAATATGCATGTGATAGCAAGGAGGCAAATAAATCCAACAAGATTAAGATCTCTAGCTTTACAGTATGGTCAACTGTATGAAAGTGAACATTATGTTTGTTTATTTGCTGTTCAGCACAAAACTACCACTAGGTTATAGGTGCTGTGCCCACCACACGTATTGAAACCCAGTTTTTAGCATTATAAGCCTTCAGACTTACTGCTGAGCCACTGGGGGCATAAACATTAAGGTTTTACAGTATGGTCAAATGTATAAAAGTGTGGAAGTAGAAATATATGAAAATGCCACTGGGTGTAAAAACAAAGAAATGTAGAAATTTTGTTTGCATAATGTACCCATATTTAGTTGCCACACCTGACTTGTTGAGAGCGATATGTCATTATAACGCAAGGAATAAAGGTATTGCAGCATCTTTTGAAACTATTTTAGATTAGGTGAGCATATCATGTTGCAACTAGAACCATTACTAATACTTCCAAGTCCAAGGTCAACTTTTGTGTTGCAAGAGAACAACATGTAATTTCTTGGGGCATACCAACAAGACTTAAAAATTATGTCTCAATGAAAGGAATAATGAACTTATTAATGCAATGATAAAGAAAAATTAGACCTACTTTCATAAAAACTATATTGGAATCGAGCACTTTTACAAAATATAGAAGCATAATTTTCTATTAATGAAAGACAAATTATATATCCGTTATGTAATTTTAGACAGTTTATGGCTTGTCAGTTGAACTGCTTAACTTACAATCTGAGCATCATGAGTTCGAATCCTCATTGCTGAATATGCTCCTTTATGGTTGCCATCTGTGGCAGCCAACCAGGTGAAAATTCTTGGCTTACAAAAAACCAGCCAACTCCAAACTAGTTGAGTTTAAGGTAATTAAAGACAAGAAGAAGACAGTTTACTGTACTAAAAAGTGCATAAAAGTATGATTAATAAATTACTTTGTAAAACATAAGTATTGTGTGTAATTTTCATGTGTTTTTCTGAACTGTATAATTGTATTTAGCATAATCAAAATATTTCAGTTGTTTGCTTTCCCTCATTGGACTGCTTGAAATTTCAGTTGTTTTTCTTTGATCTTGGAAAGACATGTCAGCTGGTATTATTACAGCCTGGTATACAATACTCAGTAGATGAGATTTAGAAATTAAAACTATTACAGAGCTGAGTCTACTTGATATTTTTTTAAATTGTGAAATTTTACTCTATAGTACAACTACTCATACTACAAAAGCAAACATGTTTTACAAAGAATACAACGCAGTTGATTGCCAGTGTCCCTTGCTGGATAACTGCATGAAGATATATATATATGTATAGATATATATCAAATCTCCTGCTTAAGTTTTATGTGACAAATTCTAAAACTAATTTAAACTTACCCTGACTTCCTCCAGTACTTAGTTTCTCAGATAATCCACTTTCCACAGGTTTATTCTTTGCTATTTGAAGACCATAAGATGTTACACCTGGTATGGTAGGCATGTTCTTGGGAGGTGTTTTTGCAATTGGAGAGTTTTTCATTTGCATCAAGAATGCCCTTTCATATATGATCCGAGTACCTAAAGTATAAAAATTTATAAGTTTCAACAAAAATGTATAAGAACTAAATGCAGTACTTAGATTTTCAAAAATTTACTTTATGTAACAACAGAATTATTATAGCATTTGACAAAAAGTATTTTTATGTCTAAGTGAATTGTTAAAAACTATAGTTACTGGGCTTATAAAATATTATGGCAACCTTACTATGGAGAAAAGAAGTGTTTTTAAAGTGTGCATCATTTTCATAATAAAATAAAAAGGCAATACCTTATCTGATCAACTTATTTAAAAGAGGGAAAACTGTTTTACATTCTATTATTGTTGAGAAACTATTTGAGTTATAGCTCCTAGTTCTTATGCTAGTTAAACTAAAACTATAAAACAGTGGTGAGGATTTAATTTTAACTTTTCTAAATTAGCTGAATGCTTGGGAGATTCCTGATGCTAATGTGACTCTTATTTTTTTAAAAAAGAGTTTGAGGAAAAAACTCAGAAAAGTATAAAGCCTATTAAGTATGACTTCTGTTGTTACATGTATTTAAGGTAAGATATTGAAATATATCAAAGTAGCAGTAAATAGAATACATTTTGCTAACCAAAATGTTACAATCAATTCTACATTATTTTATCTGCAGCAATAATTTCAAGTTTTATATATGATAAGTTAAATTAAATTATCAAATAGCAAATTTCAAGCATTTTCACTCTCGAGATATATTCAAATACTGAATGCAAGACATTACATTCCAGCTGCTAGACTTTCAGTGAAAGTTTCACCTTGTTTTTCATGTTCTTATTTTCAAAATACTTATAAATACGTAACTTTATGAGTACCAAGTATCAGTTTGATGTAATTAAAATACATGAATTCCAGTATTGAAACTTACAAGTGTTCATGTTCTTATTTTAAAAATACTTATAAATACATAACTTTATGAGTACCAAGTATCAGTTTGATGTAATTAAAATACATGAATTCCAGTATTGAAACTTACAAATGGAACGATTATTTTAAAATTGTGTAAAAACTAATTATCAATTAAACTTCATTTAACATTTATTTTATACATGTAAACAATCATTCTAAAATAATGTGAATTGGATACAGCAATTTTCATCTTAAACATATATATATATATATATATATATATTACTATAATTTAAGGAAAACACAGTTTGTTTATTCACTTAATACTGTACACTTATTAAAATTTAATTAGTAACAACATTTTCTGTCACATGTATGTAATTAAGATATCCTAATTTCATATTGGCAATGTAAATATGATTCTCAAATTAATTGTTTTATCTTTAATGTAGAATAGCCCATTTTGCTAACTTCTGTCTTTTTGATTAAATCATCTATTCTAATATTTAACATTCATATTACAGTAAGCAAACATACACAATAATGTGATACAAAAACAATATAATTCCAAAATGTATTTTTCATGTTTAAAATGTTAAATATACTAAAATCAAATTTTCTACTATTCATTTTCACCTCTATGTACCAGTATACATGTAAAAAAATACCAATCGATTTAGTGGGAAAATAATGTCACATAAATTAAACATTCAATGACTGTTTTGGACGAATTAAAAGGATTTAAGTAGCTTAATCAAAATAATGTACCAGATTTATCAGCTATTTTTGAAAGTTAAACAACTTTTGCGATGATAACTTATAATACATAATGCACGCATAGAAACATTACAAAACGTACTGACGGACCCCACTTTTGAATATACCTGAAACAAAACAAAAACACAAGCAAGCTAAACTTAAAGAGCATATGATCAATTAACTATCAGTTTCAAGTCAAAACAACATCACGTGGCTCGGATACGCCATGATTGTTTTGAATTGAAAGAAAGCAATATACTTCAATACTTTAGAGTAACGTGTAAATTCAACTATTGAGTGACGAGTTAAATTAACTCTTTATAAAGAATAATAAGAGATGATACATAAAGTGAAACTTGTTATTTCACGAGTAAACGGCTTCACTGTTTTGTAAATGTAATGTAATGAAAACAAAACAAGGTCATCCAATGTTATATACCTACCGCCTGGTGTTGTGGAGAAGATGGTGCCTCCTGGCGTTGAGCTGTAATCGCTCGGAAGGTGCGATGCGTCATTCAACATAATTCTTCTTGCTGGTATATTTAGCGTTTTACTATTCATTTGTTCAGGAGAATGAGCAGACATCTTGTTTGTTGATGAGAAAAACTCAATGTAAACAGCAAATTATCTACCCGTATCTTTCACTATTTTTAACTTCTTATGTCACTTGCTGTTACTTTCACTTTAGTCTAACACTTCACCAGAAGATGGAGCCTTTTTTGGTAAAAAGGTGGCATCTGATCATTAAACTGCAGTGCGTAGATGAACGCCAGTTGGTCACGTTTTTCATAATAAATATTTAACAGTTCTTCCATTTGATTGTATAAGTGTACTATTTCTATGAGTTAGAATAATACCCTCTTTTTGAGAAAAAAGGAACACACGATGATAAATATAACTACTAGGCATGAAAATCAAAATTTAGTGTTATTGTTTTTCATTTCTAGGGTAATCAGACATACCGGTTTTGTAGGGACAACCCCGTTTTTTTGGTAGTATGTCCTGAGAACTGTTTTTATGATAAAAATATCAAATTGTCAGTCACGTCGAATCACTAATGTATTTTGAGCCTAATTCCATTATAATACGGTCTTTAGTTTCTGAAAAGAGCGTCTGCTCGAAATGTTACACTAAAATAAATTATAAAACGTTTTCATTTAGACATGTAAATTTATTCTTTGCCAGCGAAAGTACCCGACTTCGCTCGGGTTATTAGGTTGATATATTCTAGCTTACTATATACTAGATAGAATAGTTCTGTTACGTCTCTGCTCGTTTGTTAATTTCTGGTTTATTCCGCGAAACTTCAGCGATACAAGTTCTTTCTTAATTAAAACTAGTTTATTCTTTCTAGATACAAACTTTGTAATACAGAGAATTTCCACAGTCACTTTAAACTTAACAACCTTTCAACACGCTATAAATCACAGTGATTC